ATGAATATGTTCATCGTATTGGAAGAACAGGTCGATGTGGTAACACGGGACGCGCTACCAGTTTTTTCACTGAGAAGGCAAGCACTTTTGAGATTTACGCTGTTATTATTATAATTTTAAACAATTTGAATTTATAGAATCGTGCGCTGGCGCGTGATTTGTCCCAGCTTCTTAGCGAATCCAATCAGGAAGTACCAGATTTCCTTCTCCGGATGGCTGCCGAGGGAAGAACACCTGGAAATAATCGTCAAGCCAATAGGCGGTTTGGTGGAACAGATCAGCGTCGCGGCGGTGCCGGCACCAATGGGAAACCGTGGTGGATACAGGTTTGATCTCCCTTTCATCAAAAAAGCTGCTCCTCTACCTTTCTGAAGAATTTTGAACTTCGCGTATTGTTTTTTTGCAGTGGTCCCCAAGGAGTTCCGCCAGCAATCCAGAATGGTTTTGGCCCTCCATTTGCAATGGGTGCGATGAACGGTTTTGGCCAGCCACCTCGTGGTTTCACACAGCAACAAAATGGTTACGGTCCACCACAAAATCGCTTCACTCCATCTTTCCCACGGGGTTAGTTGTGAACTTTTACGACTTGCTCTTTAAAAATGCACGACATACTTTATGGTGCAGTTTTATTCATGACGAGTCTTTTGCAGGAGGAGTGGCCCCATTCAATGGAGTTCCACCAGTTGGATACGGTCAACCTAATTTTGGTGCTCCAATGATGACGCGAGGTGGATTCCAGCCATCGAACGGATTTGCTCCTCCAGGAGCTCCTTCATTCCAGCAGCAAGCTGCTTATCAGAATGGTCGTGGGTTCGGTAACTGGCAGAACTGAGTATGTTATTCGTCTTCATACCCACTTTTGAAAAATCTCATTTTTGAACTTTGGCCAAAAACTTCTTTTTTCCAGGTTCTGCTAAAGTCCGATGCTTATTGTCCCAGTCTGTCATTACAAATTGCGTACCTCTTTCTATCCTTTATCTATTACTTAGTACTAGGTTATGTCATTGAGTTGAGGTGGAACACCTACGAGCGTTATTTATTCATTGTTTGGTCGACGAGTTGACTGTGTTTCGTAGCATTATTACTATTACAATTATTATTATTATTGTTTCTTACTTGTTCTTATATGTATTCAGAGCTTTAAGTGAGTAATATTTCAAATTGTGTGTACATGTGAGCGTCTAGAAGTCGGCGATGTCTATGTCATTTTGTTCTAGGCATTTTCTCCTACAATTTTTTTTTATTTTTAATTTGTAACAGTTGTCATGTCTGCCTACTCAGGATGGTCATGGTTTACTATCGGTCAACGACCGTTGGAGTGTCCTCGTTCTCTCTGCTGTATCTCACCGATCTCTGGTGTGATTGTGCACACTTTTTTACTATGCGGTGTGCCGATATGCGGGTGCTGATGATGCTGTCTTGTGTCGTTTCGTGCGGGTATTCCTTGTTCCATTCTAGTTGATATCCGTTCGTACTCCCGGTACTGGCCTGTGTTCATTCTGTTGCGTCGCCGTTACCCTCTATCGCATTCATTGACGCTTTGATGTACATAAGAAACCACCAAGACTTTGTAGCCTGCGATATCTCCTTTCCAACGAGGTATCAAGGTTTAAGTGCCGTTAGGCCAGGCTGCTTGATCTGTGAGAGTAGTTGTTTGTTACCGCTTTTGCGGTACTTATCATCTATTTATTTCGCTCCTAGATTTCTACCATTTTTTCCTCGTCTGTTTATTCTTGTTCTAGGCTAAAAAGACGGGTAGAATTATGTATCTCTGTTTGGTACCAGCGGATCTAACAGATTTCCGCTGTGGTTCAGTTCCCCACACAGCTGTTCTATTTCTCCCCGTTCTCATCGTTTTCTACATACAATGTAAAAAGTCCTTTGTCTAGAATCATTATTGTTAACCGGTCGCTCGTCGCTGTTGCTTGTTGGACGGTTGTGGTTGGGTCCTACTTGGTAGGTTCGCCTGTCCGCTAACCATAGGAGAACGTTTACATCACAAGTTATGTTGTTCACTTTTGGCTCTGAGTTTAGACTGTTTTGAATGATTTGTAGTGCTATATGAAGGGATAAAGGCTCGGAAGGTTGTTCTTGTTCTAATGCAGTATTCGTATACGCGAACTTCTACGTAGCATTCTACGATGATTAGAAAATAGCTGCTGTGTCACTGATAAACGTATTCTGTATATAACAGCTGCTCACCTTGTAGCACGGGGAGCGGTTGATCCTGAGGAGCCTACATAGTGGATTGGGTAGGAGATATACCCAGTGGGCCGATAGTTGACCCATGGATAGCGACGCCTCATCAAAGGCATAATAAGGCGTCGGAACACAGCCCACCTACGTATCGGTGTGGAAGCGATTGCAGCGGCTGCGTTCATAATATGATACCTTATCGTTCGTCCTTATCGCCCGTTTTCCGTGTTGGAGTGAACCTCATAACTAACACCCGTATCTCTTACCTTATCGTATTGCATATTCCATATGGTTACGCGTGTCCAACCCTCTATCTCAGCTCCTATCTCGAGTCCTTCGGGTGGTAACGTGAGAAAAACAGCTCCAGCTGGAAAGCCAGCGCGATCGCTTCGCCCAAACTGCTGCAATCCTAGCTCGGGTTGTGCTTCCGTGGCTGTACAATTTTATGCCCACCGGCAATGCAGACAAAGCTCGCACATATCCGGTGAGCCATGGCGTTAAGGAAATTGACGACGTCAGTGGGACTTGAACCTTGGAATTCCAGGGTATTGCTGTCCTCCTCCTCAAGTCAGGTCACCTGAAATTAGGACAGCAATCGTATGCTCGTGATATAAGCTTAAGCACAATCATAGCTCAAGCATAAGCCAATTTGTCAGCAAAAACCTAGGTTCAAGCGTATGCTTAGGCTTCAATTATCGCACCTTGTGGTGGCATGACCTAGAAGAGAACTGAACGTCTCCCTGGAATTCCTTTCCTTCAGTTTTGAAAAGTCCACTAGAAAACAGAGAATCTTGCTTTCATTTGAACCATTGCGTTTCTGAAAGACCTTCCGATGCAAACATCAAAATAATTTTAGAATGCGTTCGCCTCTGATGTCGACTTGAGTCCTTGTGTGATGTGGCAAAAATGGGAATTTCAATGCTTTTTCGGCAACTATTAAAATTAGTGTTCCAGTAAGAGATTCCAAAACGGAACTCGCTGCTGTAGTTTGCCCTTTATAAACTTTATTTGCGGCAGCTCTTGCTTTGTCATGTGCATTTGTTTTATTGTCTCGCCCAATTGTTGCCTCTATTTTCAGAAAATGGGAGGTTTCTTCAGTAAGAAAACGCCGTCTCCGCCAAAAAATTGCCAGATTACGGAACAAGACCAGGCCATCCTGGTTTGTCACATTGAAAATTTACTTTAAAATGACTATCGGAGAAGACCTCTCCATGCTCCGTGAGTATTGGCTGTTCAGTATATCAAGTGCATTCAAAATTAACCATCCTAACTTTTGGTGGGGGTTGCCATTCGGAATTTCGCCCGTTGGCCTGAATTCATTGATTATAGATTGATTTCATTATTGCTCAAATATTGTTTTACCAGTCCTAAACTACCTACAGAATTTATTAATGAGTGAATCACCCGAACTTTCTTAGGGTTGGGATATTGCTGCTCAGTAGATAAGGTTCTTTCCTTCAAAGGTAGCTGATTTACATTATTTGATTTCAATGAACTTTGCAGGACACCCTCAACCTGCTTTTTTCAGCAGTTAAAAACCCAAAGAGATAAAATCAAACAGTTCGTTCGTCGAAAGGAAAAATGCATGGAGCGTGAGAGAGAGATGGCTCGGCAGTTACTTAAGGATGGCCGGAAGGAGTAAGTCAAGCTTTTTTTTTGAATTTTCCATCATTATTGTATTTTTACCTATCAAAATTGCAGTCGCGCACTTCTTCTATTGAAAAAGAAAAGATTCCAAGAGAATGTAATCGAAAGAACACTCAAGCAGTTGGATAATATTGATAGAATGGTTAGTTGTATTTTCTGAATGGTT